AATGTAACTTTGTAGCAGTTTCTTGAAAAGAAATACCCTTAAAAACTATGCTTCAGGTAACTAAATATAGTAAACTAGACCTCCCAGCTTAGATTTGTTAGCTGGACTAAGTTTACTACCTTTTAAACATATTTAAAAAAGACTACCAAACTGAATTATAAGGTACATGGATATCAATAGTAATGTATTTTTTCCATTGTATTTGTTCTTTATATATTTGATATGTTTTGTATTTTTACATTTATTATTAAGTATTTTATATTTTCTTTATCTTATCATTTTAGAATGTTTGTCCTTTATCTTTGAACTACTTGGTAACAATGTGCAATTTTAAGGAGCATAAACATTCAGTTCTTTTTCCACACATGCTGTTTTACTTACACATTTTTGCAGTAAAGTTTTGCAATCCCCCTCTATCCTCTGAAGGATTTAGTTTCCTTGCTAGTTAGGGTTAGGTGCACTTAGGCTCTATTCAGACAAATTACCATTTATCAGGGATCATTCTGATAAAAATAGACTTCCCTTAGCATGATTTTTAATGAGCTATACACTACAGATTATTGACTAAATGTATTAGTAGCTTAATAGACGCAATGTCAGAAAAGCAAAGAAGAAGTAATTTGTTGGTTAAAGAGCTAAGCATCAGCACAAGGGCACTGAATATTTAACTCGTAAAAGCTTCACTGCAGCAAAACTAGTGGTTCTTCCTGCCAAATGCTCCACACAGCTTTTAGGGAAAACTGATTCAGCAGGCAACAGAGAGATTATAATTATAGCTGCGGAGAGATAAAATATTTTACAATATAGGGAAAACCTCACACTATAGATAAACCTGACTAACCCAAACAACATTCTTTAATTCACAAATTAATTAATTCCATCTGCAAACAAATGTGGTCCAGAAATGACCTTTTTGTCCATTCTAGACACAGATATACTTTTTTTTTTTTAAGTAGAAAAACAAAAGTGTTATTACATTTTTTTTTCATCACTTTCACATCTATTATCCTAGAGTGGATAAATATCACAGTGAATGGTCATTACATGTGACTGCTTCACTGGTTTATGCCAGAGAAGATGAGAGGAAACAAGATCAAATGTAAATAATGGATCAATGGTACAGCAGATGACTGATACTCCATTTAATAACTGCATGCTCTTACCTTTTTGTGGTTTTAGCATTTAGCTGCTTCATTCATGTTTGAATAGTTTATAACATTACAATGCAAACTATGCAACTAGATTTGATTGTCTTTCAAATTAAAAGTTGTGGCAAATATGTATAACAGACACTATTAGTTAAGCAAGTTAAAACTTTTTCTCATGTCCATTGGAAAAATTAGACTTAGGGAATATTAATCCAAGTAACAATGAAAGAAAGAAGCATTTCACAAAAAAAAAAATGAGTTAAACATTATAACTCCTAATTAAAAATGAATTTATAACTGATGACACTAGATATTGTTTGGTATTATTCAAAGTTTCAAGTATAAAAAAACTCCTGCTTTTAGAATAGGTTCTTAGAAAAATATTTAATGATTTAAAGTTTTCATGAAATATAGTAATTCTAGTTCTAGGTAAAAGTCCCATCAGGTCTGCAGGTGGTCCTCAGGAGTGCTTTCGATGGATGTCGATCAAACTGCTAAGCTAAATTTAAATTTTAAAAAATTCCAAGGCCACCCTTGAAGCCGGTCAGAGGGAACCTGACCTCAGATTGTTTTGATAACCTTAACACTTCTGTTTAGTGAACTAAGGCCTCAGTGGCACAAAAGACAGACAGTAAAATAGAACACCAAAACACAAAATAATCTATAGACTTGAATTACAAAGTTAGAATTTGTTTTGCCAAACACTATTGCTCAAAACATTTAAGAAATTTCTTGCATACAGATGCACAACATTTCAAATAGATAGTCCTCTAAACCTACCAAGTGCTACAGTATGGACACTGGATTTAGAGTCATCTTAGAAATCCTTGATTTAAAGAATCTGTTTCCCCTCAGTCAACAGGAAACAGGCATATGATCATAACCTTTAGATAGGGCAAACCAGATAAGCAAAATAAATAAATATATTTATTTGATATGCAAAAATTTAAGAGAGAAAATGGAAATAACTGATTTTCAAATTTATAGGTGAAACATTTTCTTTTGATTGCAGAGAGTATACAGATATACTTATGTTGAGAGGTTGAATCTAGTGTCCCACACTGGAAATAACTGCGCTGATGATTATCAAGGCATAGTTTTATTAGCTTATATGAGGTAACAAAGAGCATAAAAAACCATTAAAGCTCACCAGAGCACCTTTTCTTTAGCGTTTTTTCATATTACTTAGACAAAACAGTTTCTATGCTAAATTTTATTTTTCTCTTGCAGGGATAATGAAATGTATATGCCTGTGCATGTGTGTTCTGTGTTTACTTGTGTGGCTGTGGGCTGCTCTACCACATGTGAGTGTGTTTTATGGTTCCAGAGGGAGTTAGGGTTAATGCAGTAAAACAACTTTCCTCGTGCCCAGCGTGTGCTTAAAGAGTGGATTTACTGTGTATATAGAAAAGGAAAAGGTTTAGAGCAAAAGGCAATGATGAAAGAAATTGTTTTCAGTAGTTTAGGAAGTTCTGATTTGCTCTCTTTTTTTAAGACTACTGACATCCACTCAAAATTTGGTTTACTGTTTTGTAAGTTAAACTTGCATCTAGGATTAGATGATTAATCAGCTGCATCCTAAGATAAATGTAAGTTTTAGGAAAATACTGCATTAAATAACAGCTTTTAACATGCATTTTGCTTTCCAGGCATTTCAAGCTTGAAGATATATTTAAATACTTACTAATACTAACTAATTAAACCTATATCATATAACTTATGAGTTAAAACACTAGAACTGACAGGGGGTTTCATTCCTTTTTCCTATGACTATATGTAAATTAGAGATAAGAATAAATCTTAAAGCTACAGTGTGTAATAATTACAGGGATATACAGTCAGAAATTTAATATATTATACATAACTATGTTATTTATCATCATCTACGAGCTCAGCCTCTTAACCTTAATATTTGCGTTGCCTTAGAATTCGTTATTTATGATTACATAGGAGCGGGTCTCGCAGCCATGGAGGCAGACATCTCTGCGCTACGGCAGCGCAGAGCCAACAAACTAGCGATTGCGAGATCACCCATTACGCTCGAAAGTAACTACGGCAAGTTGAGAGAGATGAACTGAGACGGTACTGAACAATAGATGGCAGTATTATGCCTGAGAATACTATCTGTAAAAATTATCTATGTAAACAAACCTCATCACTTGAGAAGGTAGGTGATGCAGACGTCGTGGAAGACATTTTGTCCCGTAACGCTCGCCATACTGTTGGGGGGGAGAAGCGGTGGGGGGGAGATGTTCATGTTGCTGCGATCTGCAGTCTGGACGTTAGATGTCGCTAAAAATTACACACTGTAGCTTTAACTAAAGGAATAGAAACATTCAACTTCTCAGGGAGCACAAAATAATTCTGTAATTGTAACATTATATTGGTAAAACACAAACACTTGGAGAGGCATTTTAATTATATTATACAGGTATTAGAAATTTCAATTAACCACTTGTTTCCCTTTTTTTTATACTGTTCATGTTAAATTATGCTATTGCACAAACTGCTGCCTCTGTCTCCTCTTCCATTTTTATTAAAGCCCTGTATTTCTCCAGTCATTTATTTTTCTTTAAAATGGCAAAGCCTCTTTTTCTTTCACTTTCAGTGGTTACTGTTTTCTTGAGCGTTTTGTACAATACCATGGTTGGTTAACATATTCTCCCTCCTTACTAAAATCCCTTTTCTTTTACAAAAGAGCTTCCAATTGCTTTACTGTTACCTGGCCCACTTAAACTTGAGCGGGTATAGATTCAAACCGGTTGTATTTGAGCAGCACATCTTGGACTTGCAAGCAAACTTAGATTTAACTTAAAACAGAACACTGCCACATGAGTTTAACTCTAAATATTTAGAGATTTTCTTGTTCAGGTATGGTTTTCCTTCTGAGTTTCAAAAGAACTGGTAAGCAAGTAAAATATGCAATCCTGCAGCCAACTTAAGCGGAAGTATAAATAATATTTAGAATGCTGTGGGACATATAATTGTGACACATTAAATATATAATATTATAATGCATAGCTTTACTGGGTATGTATTGCAGTATAAAAGCATTATGGTACATAAAAGCAATGAAAATTAAATACTATTTCCACAGTAAAAAAAAAGAAACTGTAGCTTTTTCCTTATCTGTTGATATCAGCAAAAACTTGTGGTTTAACAAGTTCTTAATGGAAAAAAATGTATAAAATTGATTGGAATCATAGTTGCTCTATTTTGCTGCAATATTATAAATTGAAAACCAGAATAAATATCTTCTGTACCAAGTCCAACTGGATACTACTATATGGCTAAATTACATCCCTGTAGATAAAGCTGTGCCGAACGGATCAGTTAAGGACCTATTCAGTCAACCCCCAAAAGCCATCACAATCTGTCTCTTTGGCTAATTGAGGATCACTTTACAACATTGCCTCAAGGCTCTTAAGTCAATGAGATGGCATTGATTTTTTCCCCCTTTTTTTTCCAAAGATCCTGCTTTCACCTCCCCCTTACAGAATGGTTTAATAGCTCACAGGAGATACTTTCTACCACTGCCAAATATGCACACAGGCGCTCACCTCTGTGATGCAGTGGAATTTTCTATATTTACTGTCAGCCCTGCAGGCAGTAACTCATTCGTTATGCTGTTTTATTTCATCTCATCTCTTCCTTCATATCTGACTTGACATCTAAATTTGGCATTTATATGAAAACCTAAATATTTTCATTCTTTATTAGAAAAAGATTTTTCATTCATTTAAAAAGTGTGGGTTTCAGTGGGAGGCGTTGCAAGCCACCCTGCGGCCTCACCCATATTTTCATATGTTCTCCTTACTTAGCAGGTGTGTGTTTGCCATGCTCTCTCCACAGGTGGACAAGGTGTGTGGCCTGTCTACAGGGGAACCTCCAAGCATGCGGCATATGAGCCCAGAGGTCACAACCTCTACCACAACCGCAAATTCGCCTCCTTCGTCTGCCTCCTCCTCTTCCCCCCAACGTTTACCAGAGGAGTGGCTGGAGAGGTTTGCCCACATGAAAGGGTAAGCTAAAGCTTAATATTGAATGTTATAACTGCACTGTTAGATCTTAAATAGATTAAGGGGTTTGGTAGCTTATATCCAATGCTATTAACACTTTACCTTGATCTCAAATGCTTAGTTAGACTCACTCACTTCTCAAAACGTCTTTCATACACAACCAGTCTTCCCAACCTGGTCCCCAGGGCAGCCATCATGTGTCCTTAGCAGCTGGTGGGCAGGTGGAGACTTGGTAATATTAATCGTCACAGACCAAGCAATTTCCTGTTTAGGCAGATGACCATGCAACTAGCTCTGTACTCCAGCCTACCCTGCACTGTACCGCACTAGCAGACAAACTAAAAGCCATTTGTTGCAGTTCATGAACTGATACCAAGCCTAGCTCTTATGGCTGGCGTGGCACTGCCAATGCCATTCAAAGCAATATAATCTAGTTTGTTTGCCTGTTGCCAGGGCTGACCAGAGCTCGTGTTAACTTTTCAAAGCCAAAGCAGTAACCAGTACAGCAAAAGGAGGGAAGCTGTGGGAAAATATGAAAAATCATAAGAGTATAGCGGTATTTGTAGGGATAAAGGGAATCGTGCTTTTTCTTTATTGTACATTTAAACTGTTTCCACATGTGATGAATTTTACTGGGTTAAATTACCATCATTTTAATTCCTTTCCATCTTGTCTTTTATTTTTTATAATCCTTTGTAGGAAGTTGTTTTTGTTGTATCTGTGGTTTTAAGAGTTATTGCATGTGCACGAATAATCATTTCCACAATTTTAATCTGAGTGTCCTTCCTGTTTTTTCCTTACATTTCTTGTCACATCAATTTCTTCTCCCCATTCCATTTTTTTTTTTTTTTTTTTACCTTTCTGCATCTCCCCACTTGCAACAACCATCCCCTGGACATCAACTACCATCATTCCCAGTCCATTACCTCTGAAACCCTCCAACAACTATAAACCTAATCTGAGAACACTTTCTAGGTAAGCATAAAGGCAATTACATATTCCTTTCAGGTATAAAAGCAAAAAATACATGTTTTCTTAGGTTATTATACATTTATGGGACTGGTGTGTGTTGGTCTTTGTGATGTATGTTCACTAATGCATTCTAGCAAAAGTTTAACACCTATTGTTTGACTCACTGTTGCATTCGTTTTACTTATTCCAGCTTTTTGTTTTATCATTACATTGTCAGAAGTACGGAGCAACAAAATGAAATATCTGCATTAACCCATCTTAAGCCATTGTGCGGCACCTGGGGAGCACTGTTGGGTTAAGGGTCTTTTTCAGGGACCCAGAGTGTCAGTCCGTGGGAGTGGGGCTTGAACTGAGACCCTCTACATTCCAAGCGCAATGCCCTAACCACGATACCACACTCCCCATGTGCCTTATGTGGTTTATGAAAGCATGTGGTTGTACTAGATTTTATATAGGGTGTTAGAGGGGTAGGAAATAAAAAAAGTACAGTTATTATTAGTAAAAAAATATTCAAAGACCCTTCAGTTCAGTTTATTCCGATGGTGCCAGTTCACACCACATGTCATCCTTAGGTAATTTACAGAGACAATTAAGTTAGATCACACAACCAGACTGCTGAAAAGTTTTGTCTAATGGATTAGGTTTATGGTTAATGGTGGATTTGTGTTTTTGCATTTCCTGCCACAACTTGTCATGCCCCCTGCGAGAGGGGTACCCTTGTCATGTCAGTAACTGAGGCTCAAAGTGTTGACCAATGTCAATATTTGATGAGTTGGGAGTTGGACTGCGCAGAAACAGACCAGGAGATGCTACTATGATGACCAAAAAACAGAGAGAACATAAAGTTATGAGTGGACTTAACAAATACTGCAGAATGGGAGAATAGAATGAAGAAAAATCATGCTATGTCCTCCTACAGACTATGCCCATAGCAGCATAACTATAGAGATAACTCTGGATAACTTTAGCCACTGTAACTATAAGCTTTATTACAAATGAAATGTTTCAGCCTAGTCATAAAAGTACACAGAGTGTCCACCTCACAGACTAAATCTGGTATTTAGCTCAACAGGAGAGGATCTTAATAAATAAAATAGCTACCTCCCTTTTCTACTTTTAGACATGCTAGGAACCACTGGTTAAACTGCAGATCGAATTGCTGTTAGGAAAAAAAGGAATTGTCAGATTTCTGATGTAAGATGAATCTTGCTTATTTAGAGTTTTATAAATTAACAGGAGGATTTAAAATTCTATTTTGGATTTAACAGGAAGCCAATGAAGAGAAGGATAGGAGAGATTTGATCTCTCATTTTATTTTTTTATCAGAACTCTGGCTGCAGTATTTTGGATCAGCTGAAAGCATTTAACTAAAGCTCGTGGACTTCCTGATTGTAAAGAATTACAATAGTCCAGTCTGGAAGTAACAGATGCATGGACTAGTTTCTCAGAAACACTCCTGAACAGGATATTTCAAATCTTTGCAATATTTCGGAGAACAAAGAGATAAATTTCAGAAACCTCTTTGATATGGGTTTTAAATGACAGGTCCTGACTAACACCAAGGATTTTTTTATTATTATGTGAAATATCTTCTCGGACCAATAATGCCATCTAGATGAAGTGACTGACTAATAAAATCATTTTTCAGGTGTTTATGTCTGCAAGACATAGCTGTAGACCCGGGGTCACCAACGTGGTGTCTGCAGGGACCAAGGGGCCACATGGGGTGCCCAAAGCATCTTCTAAAAATGCACAACTCAACAATAGACTAAGACTGAATTTAATTTTACTCTGTCGCTCCTCTTTTCAATAATTTATACAGCATTTTATCATTTTAATCTTACAGAGCATTTAAGCATTTATAAAGATTTCAAAAGGACAATATTATAAAGAAAGTTAGGATTTAAAAGAAACTATACAAATATGTTTGAAATTTAGGTGAACACTGATCCCACCAGTTCATAGGCCAGCATTGGTGGCCCTTCCTAAAACTCAGTATCCATGAAGTAGCTTTTGGCCTTAACAACCTTGCAGACCCCTGCTGTCGTCTACTGTATGTAAAGGATTAGTTTCATCTGGAATTATAGACACATATAGCTCAGTATCAAAAGCACAACAGTGAAAATTAATCAATGCTATCTATTAATTCTACCAATTCAGAGCATACATATAGCAAAGAGAATTGGCCCTAGCACTTATCCCTGTGGTACTCCACCCTGCGGCTTGTGGAAGACTTATCAATAACATGATCAATCTGAAATCTGTCAGACAAATAAGATTTAAACCAGCCTGAGCCTGATCCCTTAATTCCTACAGTATTCAAGCCATTCCAAAAAACTTTGTGATCAGCTGTATTAAACACAGTACTGAGATACAATAGGACCAGTAAAGTCCTTTATCTGAGACATAATTTTCATTAGATAATGATATCATTAGTGACTCCCACACCTGACTGAAACTCTTCTAAATGGTGTAAAAGCTCAAACACTTGTCTAGCAATTATTTTCTCATGAATTTTAGATAAAAAGGATGTAGATGTAGGCTTGTAATTGACAAAGTTATTCCTATCTAGAGAAGGTTTCTTAAGTACTATAAAGGTTTATTTACAGCTAGCTTAAAAGCCTTAGGTTCATATTCCTCTTACAGGGGTAGATTAATCATATCTAGAATCATTTCTTAAATCACTTGGTTGGAATTTGATTAAACGTATAAGTTGAAGGCTTAGATGAAGATCATTTTTATATCTCATGAATCTCACGTGAATCAAAAAAATCCTAATAAAGGTCAGTTTCTATAGTTATCTCAGGTGTAGCCTCACCTCCAAGACATGAAACAATCATATTTGTCTAAGAATAGAATCAGTTTAACGTGTTAAAGATCAGTATACAGCAATTTCCAGCACATGGCAGAGGTACTCGAACTAAAAGCGCATTCAGATTTGGATATAAAACAGCAAAATAGAAGAAAATAAAACTAAGAAAAATTACCTTTTTTTGTAAATCACCACATTTGAAATCCTTTAATGACTGTCTTTGCATTCAACCTGTTATTTTTGTTTCTCATTATGCATGTTGACAATCTGCTCCAGGGTCAAAAAGTTCTGCCTTTGTTTTGCCAAGTATTACTCTGTCTATATTGATGACATATGTTAGAAGATCTGATAAAGCAAAGCTAAGACACCACACATTGCAAACATAAAAATGTGCTGATGCAGTCAAATTCAAGAGATGCTGTTACTGCCACTGTTAGTATCATCATGTGTGTATATATATATATATATCACAAGTATGCCATGTTAAAAGAATATTAAATCAGTGTTTAGTGTTTTTTAAACTATTAGACAATATAATGACATGTATTGAGGTTACTTATTGTATAGTGATGCAGATGACTATTTGCATGAATCAAAAAATTTCAAAAAAGAAGATTTTATATCATTTTAATTGTTTTATGGGATGTTTTTCCATCAGGGAGTTCTTAGCTGTGCTGCTGCGCTATAGAGCCTTCTTCATTTCACTACCAGACATGCTGTGCAAAGGGGAGAATGTAGTGGACGACTCCACCTGCTGGGTTGGCACTGATGTTGTAGAAAGGTAAGACAAATCTTCTTCAGTATTCCTAACGTTTACATTGTGGATGACCAGGGCCCTTAATGAGAGATCAAAAGTAGTGATAAGTGAAATAATTGTTGCTAAAGCAAACAGGATAGGAGTGGTGAGGAGGAGTTTTGGCGAGCCTACTAAAACAGAGACGACTGAAACAGTTTGGCCAATCAACCAACTGAATTAGAAATACGTTAGACCAGACTTTTTCAATGCTCATACAGATAACAATGTTCAGAAATTAATGTTCAGATAGGAATATTCAGATAATATGAGCTAATCCTAACCCTAAGCCCGCCAAAGGGGAATATTAATGAAAACCAGCCAGGCCGGTTAAAGGTAAACCTCTTGTAATCTAATATTTTTTAGGGATAAATTAACTGTGGGAAAAGTATTTAATTATTATGAATAAGAATTACAAAATGTAAAACAAAAAAATCTTTACAATAAAAAAGGAATTTCAGTAATATTTACAGACCTTAAAATGATCTCAATAATAATCATTTTAAAACAGAACATTTCTAGAAATTTATATACATAAATACACACAAGCTAAAGTACAAGTACACACTATGTAGCGTACATAGTCTAAAAAAAAATCTATAATACAGGTGAGATTTGATGTATTGTACAAGATGATGTCAGTATCTTTAAGCTAAAGGGTAATCTAGAAAAGATTAAATGATTCTGGGACCAAATCACTCCTCTATTTTCCTCCGAAAACTGAGAACAGAGGATCTTTTCCTCTGTCTAGTTACGTTTTCTCCACATTTTTTCCTCTGTTTTATTGTTGTTCCTTTAAATGGACAAGCAGGCAATCACAGTAAAATTCTGAGATGTACAGTATTTGAGCATTTCACCAAAATGGATAAAGTGGTATAAAGGCCAGCATAGTGCGAAATAATAACAAAAAGCAAATTGAAATAAAGATCAACTCCAAGCATTTTATGGTGAGACAATTTAATTTAGGTAAATATCACCTAATGTAGTAGGATTCCTAATCCATGTCAGAATTTTCTATTATTGGTTAATTTCTCTACATTAATTACTAGGAGGTATGTATCAACCAGTCACAGCTCTACCTAGCAATGGGTTAACCTCATCTCCGCATTGTGATAACAAATTCTGTTAAGTCATAAATTTGAGTTGATTTAAGCAACTCAACAACTCACTCTTAGGATATGAATCCTTGGCAGGATTTTTTTGGGCTAAGACATGAGCTCTCTTAGAGAACTCTCTGTGAATACAGGCCCAGCTTTTTTCAAATGAAGACAGAACCATGTTTTTTTATTCTAATCTTGTTGTGTCTGACACCAAAATTACATATTTTCCTCATCCATACTTGTAAATATGACTAAATATCTTTTTTTCCCACTCTTTCCAGTAGTCAAATTCCTAATCCTCTGCTTTGACAGATATACATTTCTAGATAAGTCTTTATATGAGAAAAAATAAAAATGTTTTAAATACTGTCAGGCTGAGAGTCAATGTGGCTGCCTGCTGTAAATCTTTGTGCAAATAAGGAAGCTATTATCCATCTCCCTATTGATTGCATGCTGGCAGAACAGAAAGTCACAAGGCTCCAGTCTACTTTATGTTAGTGTTAGTGATTGAATTGTTTTCTGCTGAGATATTTAGTTTTTGCTGATTTACAGATATAGCCTTGGAACTGTTTTCCTGGTGATGGTTTTGGGTGCATCTCTAAGAGATCAGAAAGATTGCTCAGTGTGTGGTTCTCCTATTTTTCACTCAGCATATGAAGAGAATTATACAAATTACTAAGGCAGCGCAAATCTGTAATTGATTCTGAACTCCAGTACGGTTTCTTAAACACTCTTGAAGCTATCTTTACAGTTATGACAAGGCCATGCTCTGCCATTTCATTTGGGGAAAAAAATAGTAACTTCAGCTCAATTGGTCCTGACGGTTCTTGCTTCACCAAAACAATACACAGATCTCATGCATTTATTGTCCTTTGTGGCTGTGACAAATGAGCCTTACTTTGCTTACGTACTTGTAAGGCATTTTTCTCAGGAACAGATGTTGTCGAATTGTGTTTTGTATTGTATTCAGTGGCTGCTTACAGAATGTTATCCTGTTTTCTACCGTCCAGTTCTCCTCCCCCTTGACAATTTCTCGAGAAATCAAGTACCTTGTAAAAGGATTAATTCCACTTCTTCACTTTGCTGCCCCTGCATTAAGCTGTTTTGTATAATTTGATGTGGTTTGTAAGAAACAGTCTGTGTTTGAGACACCAAAAGATAAGGAAGGAGGAGTTCTAGTCACATGCACTCAGAAAGGAACTTTTTGCCCTCATGTTAGAAAAGAAAAATAATAAAATCACTGAAAGTTTTGCCTAACAATTTGTCCCAGCAGTGAAAAATGACAGTGACAGGGGGATGTAGTGCAGATGTTTTTTCTTTTACAGGAAAAATGATATGGGCCAGTTTTGAATGGGAGATGGTGCTAGATACGTTGCAGTATTTTTTAGAAACTCATTTGTGGCTGCAAGACATAAAGAATGGGCAGTAGTACTTCTTACAAAAGTACAGCAGCCTCAAACAAAAACCTGTTATCAGCTGAAATATTAAGTAGTTAATTACATGGTCAGTAATTACTTAATCACGATTAATCTCAATTTAATCAAAGAGAGTGGCCTTTGAACGTGCCGTCTAAACATTATTAGTTTGATTTTTTCTTCTTTTAAATTGTCTTGCAATCTACTTTTCCTGTGTTTTTTAATAGTAAGCAGTACTCTGAATTGTCTTGCTAGTGAAATATGTCAAAAATATGATAAAATTACATTGTGTTGTAAATGAAGTGGATGGTCTCTGTCCAATCTAAGTGTGCTTGAAATATTTTGCTGCAAAGAAAAGACACATTTTCAAGTTGTGGATGAAACTGCAAAAAATCTCAATCTGTGCTTGGGACAGAAGGTGCTCTTCAAATTTACATTACATATATTACAGTACATCTGAATTACATCATTTTTGAGGATGTTGCGTGATAAAATATGGTACAGTTCAGCTGATGGATACCTTTTCACGCTGCTCTAGTAAATAAAACACCTATTAACTGGAAATGTGTTTAGATTTAGTAGATAGTAGAAGCGGACAGTTCATCTCTAAGATTTGTGATTATAAAAAAATAATATTGGGGGAGAGAGAGTGGGTGAATCTAACCAAAACTGAACAAAAGGTATCCAGTTTGTGTCCTGTTTTGTCTTTATGAATAACAATTTGTAAATTGATTTAGTCTTTGTAGAAACAAGTTAGTATCATTTACTTACAAGTGTGTTGAAGTTTCATTAACCGTACTACAGGACTGTAAGAGCGTGTTATCACACACACACCCCCTGCTGATTCCCAGGTGGTGTCAAGTGTTTCTGGTTTGAGTGAAAAACACACTGCTCCACTGGGACATTTGGCAACACTCACAAGACTTGCCCCTTCAATTGCTATTTCCCTACAGCTCACTTTAGTGGCATTCATGACAGAAAAAGGAGGACAAGAACAGGGCATGATAAAAGAGTTGTCATTTCGGTGCCGTTGTGCCCCCTGTGCACCGAGGTGCCCCTGATGAGGCAAGCGAGTTGGGGTAAAAGTATGGAGGGGGGACTTGGCAGCATAAAGACCCATTGTGGAGTCAGTAGAGAGGGGCACAGCCCACTGTGGGGACCCCAAAGTGTGGAGGGGAAACAAAGGCCCTCCTATGAGCCTGCATGGGAAAGACTCGGACATCACTGCCATTACTTTTGCCATTGCTTAAGCCATGCTCGGGAAAGTAGTGGCAGAACTGAAACACAGTTAAAAGAAGCCAAGATGTTGTCAAACAAAAATAAAAAATGTGGTTGGATACAACAAAACGTAAAAGACCAACTAAAACAGTTGTAACAAAGAAGTGCATGGAGTTAGTCTAGCTCACACAGGGTACAGTACTCAAACAATGGCAACAAATACATTTCAGGTTTCCCCCTAACATGATATGTAGCAGCTTATACATCATCAATCCATGTGATATACATAAGCTAGTAAACAGCTGGAATGGTATATACAATAGTCACAGAAAAAGAGAACACATCCACAGATTTTTTAAAAATCAAAGCATATATGAGAAATATTTATTGACAGAGTTTTGAACAGGGTGTTAGCAGCAGCAGTGAGGAAATGCAGGTGTCTTGCCTAAGGCCACTCTGTCTACCAGACTGTCGCCCAGACCTGTAGACAAAATATTTAAAAGTATGAGTAGTCATTTAATTATTGTAAGGAATTATTGACATTTAGAAAAAAAAACACAATAACAAAGCACTGCTTTATTTTCAATAGTTTTCAGAAAATGAATCAGTACAAATATTACAGAGGAACTACAACTGCCTGCTAACGTGACTGATGAAATTTTAAAAAGGAGAATTGAGTAGATTATGTTTCTTAAGGTGTTGATCTGTATAAGATGAAACATTCATTGCACATGCTATCCAAAGATTAGCCAGTACATATTTTATATTGTTGCTAATTCCCTTTCCTATTTTATTTTTATTGTATAAAGAAATTTGACACCTCATAGAAGGATAAACAATTCTAATATTGCTTTGCACAAACTGGTGTGTTGCACACGTGTGTTCTGTAGACAGAACTGAGAAAGAACTGTCAGCACTCCTTTTATTGGCCGATTCCAAAATTTTGAAATGAAGTCAAAGAGATGGTCCACAGACAATACAGCAACGTGAGTGCTTCTGAATGCCTTGCATTTTTATAAGGTTATGACAGTCCATTTGTTTATCATTTCAACATCTGGAATCTATTCTGCTCATTGTGAGAAGAAGCAGAGAGAATGTGTGCTGAGCAAAGCCTTCATTCCTCATACTCAACTCCCTATACTGTCAAGTCATAAGTTTTGTCTCCACCTTGTTTTCTGTCAGTCTCCTGGGTCATAAGGAGCTTATTTAAAGAAAAAAAAAGGTATGATAATTTGTTAAATTGGATAGCATAAGT